CGAGGCGAGATGGCGGCCGGAAGGGCGGGGCGCGGCGCGGCGGCGGGAGGCGCATGCGCCCTGCCCCCGCCCTCCGCAGCTGCTGGGGGCGGGGCCTACCATGGCTCAGTGTCCAGTGCGGCGGCAGCGCTCACGGCTGCGGCCGTACGGGGACTGGCGCATGTTCCGCTGCCCGCTATGTGCAGTAGGCTTTTCCCTGGGCACCCGCGCCACCGAAATGTTCGGCCCGGCTCCAAAAAAAGCCCCCCGGCTGTAGAGCTGGTGCTTAAAAAGGTGCATCTGCTTCCCAGCTGGTTCCTGGCCCGGTTTGATTTGAACGTGTGGTAGGGCCTTCCCCAGAGCCATCCTTAACCCCCGCTACAGGCTGCACGTGTGATGCGGCTCACTGGTGAACGGTGCAATGAATGTGGACCGGCCACACCGCAAAGTAAGACGGGACTCAAGTGTGAAGTAATTATCAAACAAGTGCTTCATGATGGTGCAATACATTTTGAGTGGCGGGGGGTGGGGTGCAAAGTCATTGTCACACCATAAAAATGACGGGTCAGAGCTAAAAAGAGCCAACCAGCTCTAAAGTTAGTGCTTGAAAAAGTGTAAGAACTTTGTAGCTGGTTCCTCTCCAGCTGTAATGTGAATCTGTGGCAGGGCCAAAGAATAAGCTCCCTAACACAATGCTGTGAGAGAGTCTGCACAGTGAAGCCAAGGAAAAAGCTCTTTATTCTCCAGTACAGGAGGGCTAAGGAACTCTGCCCAACTCCTGCTCTTCTGCTGGTTCTTGCATTTTCAGTATTCTCTCTCAAACATCATAGCATCTCTTTAAATAATCAGTTCTGTAAGTGGAGATGCAGCCCTATGCTTGCACCATAACTAGGGATCTACCCAAATCAAGGAGGCAAGCAGCCTATTTCACAGGCAGATCATAGGGCCCACTGCCATTTTCACAGGCTTATTGCCACACATCCCCTCCTCCCCACAGCTCTGATTGGCCGAGGGGCCCCAGCAGTTCCACCCCTCCTGCAGATTGGCTGATGGATCAAAACCATGGCATAATTACCCTGACTAAGCGAGAAAGCCATTAACTGGTGGATTATTAAGCACTCTAAGCATTGAATTAAACTCTAAACTGAAATGTCTTATGAAATTAAAGCTATACACAGCATGAATTGTAACTAATACCATCACTATGCCTTATTAAATGATGTTGTAAAAAGAAATTTACTCAATACTTACCTTGAGACAGGCAATTCATGCTAGCTGTTACGCACTAGCATCCAGCAGCAGTTGCTGCTGACATTCTCTGTCTCTACAGGGTAAACGCTTTCTGTACACTAGGATGGCATGCTCAGCATCCACTTTGTTGGAGTGGTAAGGCAGCATTTTGCCAGGGCGTACAAGATGTGGAAACTGGGCACAGACAGCGCTCCAACACAGGCACAGGCATCCAGCACTTTTTGACAAAGTTCATGTAAGCAGTATGTTCCTTGTCATGCTCTTTCTGCCATCTAGGGACTGATTTCAGTAGCTGAGGTTCACAACTCAGAACTGGCACCTGGCTGGGGTCCAAAATGCAAACAGCACTAAGGAAGGAGGCAGCCAATTGGCCAAACAGTGATTGGTCGTAAGTGTAGTGTGGGTTCAGCTTCACAGCTACTGCCTGGGACAGGTCCCTTCTCTGCTGGTTTTCACAATGACAGCTTGACAGTTCTTATTATGCCATGTCTTCAACCCAACTTATCACGTCTATCAGCTTCTGTGTGTTGTGGATCACAGCCTGCCACCCTTCAAACTAGAAGCTCCATGATCCAGGTGACATTTTTCACCACAAATTTCACTTGATCTTGAATATCTCCCTGTTCCAGGAAATCATGAAGCTTAAGCATGCACTTGTGTGCTGGGTGTGATTTTCAACTCCTAACTCACAAACTGCTGGTAGTATTGCATATGCTTGGCATGGTAAGAGACGATGTTGAACCACAAATTTCACCTTGTCAGCACAGGCTCTGGTGGCAGTGACACAGCTGCATGTAAGTCCCCACTTTGACTAGTGAGGGACTCCCTGTACCAGAGCTTATGGCATGGACAGTGCTTGAAGCCTTTATTGAAGGAGGACACCAGGCTATCCACAGGGAACTGCGTGTGCCAGATGTCACTTACTAAAGACAGAATGTCGCATTGCAGGTGACATGAACTGTGTTGGGCAGCATTCCTTGGAGCACATTAGAAAAAGCTTTGAACATATACAAGGCATTGTCAGACAAATGCTGACATCTTGTTAAATTCTTAGCCTTAGTTGACAACAGCCTTCACTATATCCTGAGATATGGTAGAAAAATTGACAGACATAAGGTGGACTGGCTCTGTTTGAAACAGGCAGGTCCTGGTCTGTCCAGCTCCCAGGTACAAATAAAATGTGTAGCACATAGTTATCCTGAGGCTCAGTGGCTTCATCAGCTACAGTGGAGAAGAATTCATACCCTGCCAGTGCAGACCTTGTGGACTGTAAATGCAAAACAATCGCTGCAGGGAAATAGTCTTCACAAAGCTTGTTTGGACATGGAAAACTGCCAGCATTTGGCACATTTTGGTTCAGTATAGTCACTTAGCTTTGGGTGATCAAGTTTCTCCAGTGGAGAGGGGAGGCACACCTGGGCCAAGGGTTAGCGAGGATTTAGTTTGGGAGCTTCTGGAGGAGCTTCTGGAGGGGCTGGACGTATTCAAGTCAACCGGATCTCCACCCTAGAGTTCTAAAGGAATTGGCCGAGGTCATTGCAGGACCCCTGGCATGGCTTTACGAGCACTCATGGTGCTCTGGAGTGGTGCCGGAGGACTGGAAGAGGGCCAATGTGGTCCCCATCTTCAAACAAGGGAGGAAGGAGGACCAAGGAAACTATAGGCCAGTTAATCTTACCTCGGTCCTAGGCAAGCTGTTCGAGAAAATTATTCTGGCACACATCCATGAGGGGCCAGCAGGGGACTGCATGCTTAGGGGCAACCAACACGGGTTCATCAGTGGCAGGTCCTGTCAGACCAACCTGGTGGCCTTTTACGATCAGATCACCAGATCATTAGATGCAGGGGTAGCAGTGGACATAGTCTTCCTGGACTT